TTAGAACTTCTCCAGGGTGACAGTCACAGTTTACAGTTGTCTCATTGCGACGCACGCATACACACCATTAAAAAAACATGAAGGTTGCAAAGTCAAGCGCTCAGAAGTTAAGAAATACCAGAGTTAAGGTTGCCCATATAACCTCATTTTGGCCCGTTTGCACATATGCGTTCTGAAAGTCTTTAATTACATGAGCACATGCTATTTTCTCCACAGGACCCCTCACATTCAGTGCACTGTCTCAGCCTGCTCTGGGAATGAATCAGGGTTGTGTAGTGAAGGACGCTGTTCTCTGTAGGTCCTCTGCTTCATTTCTTGCAGAAGTTGGAAGTGAATGAGGCGAGGATGGCTTCATGGTTAAGGCAGCTGAATGCTACCCTGGAGAACTGGATTCTTTCTCTCCCTCTGCCACAGAGTGCCTGTGCGATGCTCGGCAAGTCACTTGAACAGACTTTTCACAGGTAGTCAGTCAGTGCGTGGTCCTCGTTTTCAGGGTGCCTGGTTTGAGACTCCATGGGCTGATTTGCTGAAATGCTGAGCTGCAACTCAAGTCAATGGGAGCTGCGGTTTGAACAGATAAAGTGCTAATGGGAAGCACTCAGAAACATTGGGTCCTAGGCCTCTCAAACTGGGCACCCAAAATTAGTGGACATTTCTGATCTTAGTCTCTCTGTGCCTCAGTTCTGCATCTGTGAAATGGGAATAGCACCCTCTTACCTCTTTCCTGGGTGTTGTGAAAATAAATTAATTAATGTTTGTGACACATTCAGATACTATGGGGATGAGAGCCCTAGAAAAGCCTGTGTGGAAATTCATAATTCTGGCTTCAGAGCAGGGTTTAAACACTGTGCAGTAAATGAGGCTTGAGGTCACGCATGGAATGACATGAAGACAAAATATTGAATAGCTGCTCGTTAAATGAGCACCATCCATCCTGTGCACTGAATGAAGCAGAGGGCTTGTGAGGAAAAAAGTATGTGATCATATAATTAAAGACTGTATCATAATGCATACACACATGGGGTCTGAATTAAGGTTGTACAGGCAACCTTAATTCTGGCATTTCCTAACTTCTGACAGTGCAACCTTCATAATATTTTCCCCCTAGTTTTGTGTGTAATTTCCTCTGTTGGGGGGGGGGAGGGAAAGGAAAGTGAAAAAAGAAATTCCATCATGTCTCATCACCTTTAGATCTATCACACAGACCTTTGCCACTTGAGCTAGTAGAGTAACTGACAGCAGTAGTAGGTTGTCATCCTCTATGTGGACCAGCACCAGAGGGAAATGAGGCACAAACTTTGCTAGTGAGTTTCACAGATAATTGCTGACAGTAGAGGAATGGTGAGACTTTGGGATCTTGGGTTCCATTCCAGACTCTGGAAAAGAGTGTTCTCTAGTGGTCACAGACCCTTCTGTCCCCTCCAATTCGTCACTGCCCTAGTCCTATTTCTTCCCCGTCACTGACTCCCCATCCCATTCCCAGTCTCCACTCCTCAAGCTTTTTATCCCAGATCCTATTTCCTTTCCCAACCAGTTCTAGTCCCTGCCCCACTTCGGCTCCCTGTCCCAATTTCTCTTTCTCTTCTTTTCCCCTCCCCTCAACTTTCCCCCTCTACGTTCTACCCATGCACTTTCCTCCTCCTCCATACTGGACACCAGCCAGGAGTCAGAGAGAGCACAGGAGAGACAGACGCTCTGCTCATAGTTCTGGTTTCTTGCCCCACCCTGTCCTGGAGCAGGTGAGAACTGCAGTTTCAGGAAAAGTCCTCCTCAGCCCTGGCACCCCTGGTCTGGAGCATGCTCATCTGCTCTGTTGGGATGGCACTTGTGCCATCCAGTCACAAGAAGGAGCAGTAGGGGGCTGGCGAATGCTTGGTGCGGACAGAATCCTCAGATTTTAGGTGTCGCTCTAACAAGTCTCTAAAAAGCATGTACGAAGGGAGATTTTTTTTCAAAGGCTTATAGCTTAGCCAGATTTGTGAAGATTGTGATGGGAATAGCAAAAGGCATATCCTGACAGAGGCCAGCTCCAAAGTGAGAAGGTGCTGGACCTTCTTAACGAAAGGGTTGTATGACTGATTTATTTTTAACACTGGTGAAGCAATGGACTTTTCCCTCACCTCATTTTCAGAAATGGCTGAAACTTACAAATTAATTAAATAAATAAATAACATAGAGCCTGAGGCGGACACGTGCCATGGAAAATTTCAGCCCAAATGGTTAAAGTTCAGCAAAGTTTGATAAGCAACTGGAAACAGGCTCTTAGAATGGGACATGTCAGCCAACCTTAATAATAGGCAGCACTCACAATGCTGCCTGTAATAAGTTATGGACATCAGAAATGCTGAATTTTGCAGCTGAGGGTAAAGGAAACTATATACCTGCTAAAAGAGAGGGACCGCACTTCTTTTCAGGCTCATATCTCTGCCAGTGTTTTGTGGCTATTTTGAGATTTTTCCTAAATTTAAAAAGAGGCCAGTGTCACAAGTAAATGTCCGGGAGGGTTGAGACTTGGTGTATCTGATGGGTACAGGCTCTGTACTCCATGCTCCCAGAAGGCAACGCTTTTAATTTTGTTGGGGCAACATTTCATATGGCACTCTTTCCTTTGATTAAGTCTCATTTCGCTATCTTTGTAGCTGCACCCATCACGGCTGTGATGATATTGTATCCGATTGTAGGGTTCTCTTGGATGGTCATTCTGGTGGTGTGAGTCATCCAGGATGGTGCATACCCATTTCATGCTGGTAGCTGCACTCCTTTGGGGCTGTTAACACATCTCCAGGCTGCTGAGATGTCCTTCAGTTACCAGTAAAAACCCATGGGAAGTGCTAGCCTAGAGGAGGTGACTGAGTTGGAATTACATTAACACTTCTTAGCTTTACAGGAGTGGAGGCACCGTAGTTAACAGAATCAGAATCTTCCATTTGCTGCAAGTCCATCTCTGCCTCTTCCTACGCTTCTGCTCCCTGGCCAGAGCTCACCTGAATGTTTCCCAGCCCTGTGCTCCACCCCCGGGAAGCTCAGAAACTCTGCAGGAGCTTAGTTTTAGCCCTGCCCAGCTCCCAAGCTTCACAGGAAGGTTCCACTTGTTATCCCATAGCTTCACAGAAGGCATCTGAAATCTTTGGAGGATCAAGTGTTGACCTGTACCAGGACAGTCTGTTACGGATGCTGAACTGGATGAAGGAAAAGTCCGAGTCTGGTGGGAGAAGCAGCAAAGTGGTTTGCTTTAGGAATTTGCAGTGCATTTTACTTGCCAGTTGTTTTCATCAGGGTTGGATGGTGTGTGTGTGTGTGTGTGTGTGTGTGTATGTGGAAAGCTGCCTATGCTAAAGGAAGTGATAGACTAGTCATTAGCAAACTGCGACCCTCTGTCACAGGGGCTTATGAAATAAATGATGATCATACTGAAGCGTGAGTCTGGCGAGAAAGCCTTTCGTGCTAATTTAATAAATTGCTTGCATTTAGAATCCCATATTGTTGCTGTTACATTTTTGCTATGTGATGCCACATGGGATTAAAAAGAGGAGGGATGGGGGAAGGGGAAAAAAAGCCCAGGTCCTTTAGCAACCGCTGGTGTGACCTCACTCGCTGTCCCAGGGGGGATATGAGATCATGAGAATGCCAGAGCTCTCTGAAGGATTCGATTTGTTCAGCACAGCGGGACAGCCTGCCAAGTGATCTCATCTCTGAGACCCAGGGGGAGGGTGCTGACTGCTGCTTTCTTCCTGGACTGCAGAGGACTGAATCCCTGCGCCCCACCGATGGCGATTAATGACAGCGACCTGTGATGACATCGTCAACGATACTGTTACTGTGATGCACGCAGCAAAATTCTAGGGGAATTTTTCCCATCCCTCCCTATCCTTATCAAATCCAAAATCTTGACATCTTAAAATTTAACTTTTAGGCGTGTTAACGCCATGACAGCTGATCTGTTGGTTTACGTTTACGACCCCTCATCTCACTCCTTTGCCCTGGCATCAATTCTTCCTTCTAAACAATGAGTGACAACACAAACTCAGATCCTCATCAAGGCTGGGAGACCCAAAATTAGATCCTACTTATGTGGTCAGCTTCTTGGTGCTGGTTCTCACTGCTATAGAGTGAAAGAAAATGTGGTTAGAAAACATACTTCTGTTGCAGCCTCCTGGGGTTACGAGAAACCTGAAGGTAAACAATGATGCCTTGATGGTGTCCTTTGTAAGAACAAATGGTTTCAAATCTAGAGGAAATACCAAGATGAGAGGATTGTTTCAGTAGACGTTTAAAAAGGGGATAGGGCCCATTCCTGCAAAGTGCAGGGCTCCCTAGTGTAGAGCAGATAGTTGGATGAATTCTCTTTCCCAATACAATTCTTGGGAGGATTTAGCAACCCTGAAACTAAAGGTTGTATTTCAGAGCTGGTCTTTGTGGCTCAGAGTTTGTATCTGAGACCAGCACACACTGCGCAGAAGGGAATGCTGGAAAGCAAGGGAGGGCCTGTTGCAATTTGATTCACCAGGATTCTCTGCAAAATAGGGAGACCAAGCTGGTTGTACAATAGTAATTCTCTGCCTTCAGCACAGTGGTGGGACCAGGGAAAGAGAAATATGTCTTGTACTCCTCTTCCTATTTATTAGTATTATTGATCATACAACAATGCCTACAAGCCAGTGCCGTATCGGCACGATACAAACAAATAGCAAAGAGAGAGTCCCTGCCCTGAGAAGCAAATGTAAGACTGTAGACAACAACTGGATAAAACAAACCGCCCGGGGGAGCACAAGGAAGCAATGAGAAGATACTTTTCCCTTTCTGGGCACTAAATTAGATGGCAGTGAAGAGGGCAATAGTTGCAACTCACCAATACCGGCGTGTGCAACCATTAGCAAAGTGCCTGAGTGGCTAATGGACATGCAGGACTCATCACAGCGCGAACTCTTACGTCTGAGCCTTTCTCTTCTCCTTCTGGGCCCCTGGCAATGATGATCATTTGTATCATTTATGTTTTACAGGGGAAGTTTTATTTGGTTATTGAAGAGCTGAGCCAGCTGTTCCGCTCGCTTGTCCCCATCCAGTTGTGGTACAAATACATCATGGGGGATGATCCATCCAGCAGCTATTTCCTAGGAGGGATCCTGATCATACTGTATAGTCTCTGCAAGGTAAGGAGATGCCTGGTGAGTAAACGCGGTATACAGCAGCAAACTCCCTGATGTTTATTTTTTATGATTAAAAAATAAACTCTTTAAAAATGTACTATTTTAGACACTTATATGGCCCCCATTAGTGTTGTATCTGAGCACTTCATGCTCTTCAAAGAGTTTTATCCACCCAACACCCATGAGAAGTACTATTATCCCCACTTTGCAGATGGTAAAACTGAGGCTCAGAGAGATTTAAATGAGTGGCCTAAGGTTGCACAGGAAGTCTATGTGGAGCTGGGAATTGAATCCTGGTCTTCTGAGGGTGTGCCCTACTTGAACAATTAGACCTCAGCAAACTGGGATATGAATCCTGCCCCTCACTGGCCTGCCACTGTCTGTCTGTGTGCACCGTACTGATGTGCATTAACAGTTCCTCAGAGCACTTTGCTCTAGCTCCGAGTGCTCTAGCTAACTGTTCACACACCTCAGCAGGGTCCACACGGACAGTGAGACCACAGCAGACTCGTGCGAGATAGATTTACAGCTTGCCACAGTCTAAATGTTCATGTAGACAAGCCCTGCGTATCAGACTGGCACCTTAATCGCTGGACCATCCTTCTGCCTGTTACATTTATGAAAGCAGCCATGCCTAATTATGTGCCTGTGAGGACATCATACTAGTGCATCCAGAATGAGAGATCGGACTGATGGACATAGTTTTCTGGAAGATAGTGGATTAACACCACTGGAGACTGAGGCTGGCATCCCCACCAGCACAATGGATCTTGTCCAGACGGGAAGGGTCTGCCATTTTTCTTAATTACAATAACCAGGCTCTAGGGCAGGATTGCATTTACAAGCATAAACGTTAGGCCCCAGACTAAGAGATGAGCAAATGGACTAAATTTCACCCTCTTCTGCAGGAGGTTTCTGGGAGAGGTGTGTGTGTCTATAAGAGAGTTTCTCCTCTTCCTCTCTGCTTTTCACTAGAAGCAAGATGAGGGGAGGGGAAGTGAGTTTTGCAGTTAGTTTTGAAGGATGTAAGGTCCTTAATGTGATTCTCACCATCACCTTGTGGTGGTTGCTGAGCAAGCTGTGTGCCCCGCTTTCATGAGTCTGACCTATGCTGCTGATGGTTTTCTTATTCCTGTGGAACATAACTCCCAAGGGAGGTCCTCCTCTCTCGGGTCATTGGTCTGTCGCGATGGATGACCTTCAGGATGAGGACTGAGATCGTGATGTTTACCCAGTTCTGTCTGGGGAGCCAGTGTGGTGATTCGAGTGCTGCACTGCTATGTTCTTTGTGGCTAACGTTGCTAAGGAGGCGAGCTGCTGCGTTCTGGACAAGCTGGAGTTTTCTAAGATCAATGTGTTCAAGTACAATGAGTTGTGGTAGAAATCACAAAGGCATGGATTGCTTTGCCTGGGTCCTGGACAATTACAGATGGAAAAAGCTGGTTTGAGCAGCTGTAGCTGTCGAAGTATCTAGAAGTCCAGTGAAGAGTCCAGGAGAACTCCCAGGCTATGAACTGAATTGATTAGTTGATGGCAGACTCACTCAGTGTTCAGAGATGTTCTCATGAAGACCAGATCTTCACCAGGGTTTTTCTTTCCCCCTCCATCGTCACCTTTGTCTTGCTTGCGCTTAGCTTCGGCCAATTGTCTTCCTCCACTTACTGGTATTGGCCAGGCACTGAGATAGTTGGACAGTAGTGATGAATGAGATGTAGGCATGGGGTTGTCCGCATATTGTTGACATTTTGAGTCTCCGATGTGTTACTGTTTCCCCCTGTGGCTTCATATAAAAAACAATAGAAGAGGATGCGAGACAGTCTAGGGCCTTGAGAGACTTTGCAGATGAACTCTCTGGTAGCACAAGGAGAAGTTGCCCATCACCATTCTCTCTGAGTGCAGCCTCAGAGCAAAGATTGCAGTCAGCTCTGGGTTTCCCCATCAATTCCTGCTCCTCCTGTGAGGCAGAATAAAAGTATAGTGTAATCAACAGTACTGAATGCAGAAGGGTCTAGTGCAGTGGTTCTCAACCTATTTACCATCGTGGGTGCCCTATGCAGCTCTCTCTCTGTGTTATGTGGGCTGCATCCACACAGTATATATGCTACCTGTGTGGCCCTGAGGATGTCACATGGGCTGCAGCTGTGTGCTGATTGGGCAGCGAGTTGAGAACCACTGGTCTAGTAATAGAATAAATCTCTCCCGCTGCCCCCATATGGACAAAACGAGTAGTGCCGTTTCCATTCAGTGTCCTCACCTGAAACCTGGCTGATAGAGGTCCAGGAGCTGAGTGGGGGACAGATGTAATTGAAGACTGCTCTTGGCATGCTTTCCATTAGTTTGCTCAAGAAAGGCAGGCTGAATGCTGAGCCTATAGCCTTGTGTAAACTAAAAAGGTGCATCACTGATTAAGTTAAAACAGTGTAAGCCTCTTGTGTGGACACTCTTAAACCAAAATCAGTCTGTCCACATAAGAATTTAACGGAAATTGGTTTTTAAACAGATTTTCTTAAATCAGTGCCAGTTGCTCAGCTAGACACAGCCTAAGTCTGTAAAGTCCAAAGATAGCTGCTGCTTATGATAGATTTGTATTGCCTAGATGGCTCCATTTGTGCTAGGTATTGTACAAACATGAATGAAAGACATTCCCTGGTGTAAAGAGATTACTAGATAAATGGTGGGAGGGGAAACTGAGGCACAGAGAGGGGAAGTGACTTGCTCAAGGTCATGGCAGGTCAGTGGCAGAACCAGGACTCCTGCGTCCCAGTGCAGTGCCTATCCACTGGACCGCACTGCCTGTCTGTGCTCTCCACTGTGCTTTTGGAGGACTGAACTATTTCATGTTTTAGAGTGGTAGGAAGCTTCCCTCTTCAAAAGTGGCATTGACTGTAAGCTTCCAGGAGGGGACCTAAGCGATCCTATGTGTCCTTCCTGCACCAGGCGGGGCATGGCTTTGAGTCACATGTGGTGACTCTGATTTCTTGTATGCTTCAAGTGTCTCCTGTGTAAATGGGCAGTGCCTGGGAAAAGGGAAGAGATGTTTCCAGTCCTGGGCTCCTCATATGGCTCCTGTTGTCTGGAGAGACCATCCCAGGTTCGGGTCATTCTTCTCTATGGAACAGGCTGACATTTCTCCACAGGGTGAGGTGCTGACTTCTGAGGTAGCTGGACGGCAATCTGGACTGATGAAGCGATTGATTGTCCTGAAAAGTTCTCCTATTTTGTGATTTAGCAGCTGCAGTATCAAAGGAGAATAACGATCTACTGCCCTCCACTGTGGCTCAGGAGCAGCATTGTAAGGCTCCCTTCTGTTGAAGTCTCTGCGTATGCTGTTAGCGTGGAAGTTTCTTTCCTTCCTGCTTTATTCAAGGTCCTTGTTGATATACAAGGGCTATGTGGTGGGAGGAGGGACGTCAGTGCACTTACTTCAGAAGAGCACCTTTGTATCTGATCAGAACCTTGCCCCCCTACCACTAAACCTGCCCTTCTTTGGTATCTTTTGTAATTCTTAGCTTGCATAATTCTGACTGCCAGTTCTGTACTGTCCTGCCCATGACACTGCCAAGGCACGGCTCATAACCAACAGCAGAGGTCAGGAATGGGAGGGAACTGCCCCGGCTCGTCTGCTTTAAGCAAATATCTGCTACCTTTAACCAGGAAATATCTGTTTTAAACTTAAGAGCCGGCCTGCAACCGTGGCCTCTAGCCTACAGCCTAGTGTTGGGAAAAGCCAAAGAGGTTGGCAAAACATGGCTTGATTCTCCTCTCATTCTGCGCTGAAGTAAGTTGGGAGTAACTCTGTTGAAGTCAGTAGAGTGAAACCAGTGTAAGTGGGAAGATAATACAGCCCAGTGGCTGAGAGTCCAGGATCATTTAAGGTGCCTTTAGTGTCTGTCAGCCATATACAGGATTTGAGGTACTGGGACAATCAGACTACGGATTTCAGCTTCCCTTTCACTGGAGACCCTGTGTGAGAGGAGTGGGGAGTGGACTGGGAGAGGGAATAGGCTGGTTTACGTTTCCAATACAGTGCATGGAATATTAGATGCTTGGATCCCATTAACTGTCACAGGAGTTGCATGTCTAATTCTTTACCCGACGCATTGAAAATATACCCCTAGGAGTCCACGTGAGCAAAGCCACAAACCACATTAGAAAAACCACAAAAGCCTATTTGGTGCTCAGACCTGCTGTGCTCTTGGCAGTAATCCAGGGCTTAGCTCGACTGTATCACCTCTCCAAGGCACAAAGGGCAGGTCCTGCAGGCTCAGGTTATGGGGAGGTTGTGTAGAGCAGCTGGCACTGGTCCTCTCCGTGCATATGCCTGGCTTACATGTGAACACAGGGCTGACTTTGGTGCGGGAATCCCAGTTGTTAATATGTATGCAGGCCCATGTCTTAATGCCCTACCAGAGAGAAGAGTCCTGCACAAAGGTGGAGCAATTCCTTGGCCAGAAAGATGGTGGCTGCAATTTAGATTTCAATGGGTGGCAAGGGAAACACGCATCGTAGGGAGGATGCTAGAAGAGGCTGTGGGGCCCCAGCAGAGACACAAATAAGCCCCAGAGAGAGAGAGCATGGGGTTGTGTGAGAGAGAGCTGCTACCTACCATGGGATCATTAACTTTTAAAGATCCGTAACAGTCTGCAGCCTCAAGCCCTAGGAGCTGACTGGAAACATTACGGAAGAACCCTTGGAGCCCTTTTATCTGCTGACTGGAAGCATTACTGCTGCCTGCATTTGATTCCACATCTATTGCACGGTGATCTCACTGGCATTCTCTGCAGAGAGCCCACTTAGTCACGGTAACCAAAAAAAAAAAAAAACCCTCACAAAAAAAATCCAGTTTTTCTGATGTGTGTGCATATCATGTAAGTCTAATGCAGTTCTTCATGTTAGGTCTTTCTTTTGCCCTTCCACTCGCTCCATATCCAGACAAATTAGAGATGGAAAAGTCCTGTTATGCCATGCAGCCCCACTCCCTGCTAATGCAGAGCTGTTCCCTATGGGGCCTTTTCTCACATCTTGTCTAGTCTAGTTTGCAGTATGGCTTTCTCTATTTGTCTTGGGAGATTGTCCCACAGGCTGATAGATTAAACTCTCAGAAATTTATCCCTGATATTCCATCAGACTTTTCCCTTTCTTAGCTCTATCCTCACCGCTATTTTTATGCTAAATAATTTCTCGCCTCCTCGGTATTTATCCCCCTTGAGATATGTAGGCAGTTATTGTGTCGTGTCCCCCACCACACACACTCACTCACCTTTTGTCGCCACTTAGCCAAGCTGTACGTATTTAATCCTTTAATTTTTTCTCAGAAATCAGTCCCTCCAGCCCCCCACCATTTTTGTTGATCTTCATTGAACTCCTTCCAATTTATAATGAAGAGCCCAGAAATGAATACCATATTCCAGCTGTAGTCCCCTCAGAGATGTCGAGAGAGTGAGAGAGACTATTTTGTCCCCCTTCCTCTAACGTGAAGTCTCTGGGTATGCAACTTAAAGTAATAGTCCTTTTTATTTACCATATTGCAGTGTCCGCTCGTGTCTGTTTCTCTGCTCTTTGTCACACCTCAGTCTCTTTGGGCATTACTGCTTCTCGGGCTCTTTCTTTCCTACGAGTATCTGTTTGGACCATCTCTCCCTAGATGTTCTCCAAGTTACAAGACTCTGTCTGTTATCGCCCTGTGAACAGTGTCTAAAGCTAAATGTTTCTGTTGCAGTCTTTTGACATCTGTGGCCGTGTGGGGAGTGTCCGGAAGGCACTGAAGGTCCTTTGCACCCCTCAGGTAAGTAGTCAATGTGTGTGGCCAAGTTGACTTGGAAAATGTTGCCACAAAGGAAAGGTTCAGTAAAGCATTGCTCAGGGTGCCAGATTTATGGTACTTTTGAAAAAAGTCACCCACCACCCCATGGCTGTGATGGGAAGCCCTACCTAACTTTTGGATGGGGAAGCAATTCCTGATGTCTGCCCTTTCCCAACAATGTTAATGGAACATTGCATGGCTGGTCTATTGCAAGATGCTGCATCCCTTTTCTGGAAACAGATTGACAAGTATGTATGAAATGTGATGGTTAGAGGCGCTGAATAGTATTGTTTGATCCACTGAGTCTAATAAAGCAGCGAGTTGCCGTTTGTGTGTGTGTCTGTGTGAGGCAGAGACTTTAAGACATCCCCTGATTTATTATTAAAATAAATACTACTGTATTCGCCCCAAACATGGCAACGTACAGTAGTGTTATGGTGGTATTTACAGCCACTGCTGGAGAATACTGTGGTTATCTTTTATAGTGGTAGGACCCTGTGGCTTTTCTGCCTTGTGGAGTATAGATATGGGACCTAACACCATGGTACTTTCTCAGCACTTGGCACGGGTAATGTGTATGTTTGGAGACAGGTGGCCCAATGGATAGGGGACTGGACTATGAGTTGGGACACTTGACTCTCTCATCATGTGGCTTTGGGCAGGTCACTTCACCTCTCTAGTTTTCTGTTTCCCCATTCGTACAGTGGGGGTAATGACATACACCCTCCTTTTTATAAAGAGCTTGGAGGTTTGTGGATGAAAAGTGTTTTGGGGATTTTTTGGAGCTAGCTTGTTGATAATACTTAGCACTTTCTAAGCACCTTCTATCAGTGCTTTGCAAATGATATTGAATTAATGCTTACAACACCCCACTGAGCTCCGTAAATATCATTATCCTTATTTCCCAACTGTAGATACTGTGGCACAGAGGGATGAAGTGACTTACCCAACATCCTGCAACAAAGTCACTGTCAAAGCAGGGTCTAGGACCCTCATCTCCAGACTCCCGCTGTCAGCCACAGTGCAGGGATGTAGCTTAGTTTCCAGTGGGCTTTCTTCAGTGTAGAAAAGCTGGGCATGAAAAGAAGCATTTGTGTGCGTGTACAAGAACAAACCAGGCAATCTAAACCCTTTTGCACAGAGAGGTTTTTCTTCCCTCTCCCTAACAGACCTATGGAGTCCGTGCAACCAGCCAGCAGTGCAGTGAGGCTGGAGACATCTGTGCTATTTGCCAAGTGGAGTTCAGGGAACCTTTGATCCTTATGTGCCAGGTAAGAACACCAAGCTTGCCAAACCCGTTGTAGGATCAAACTTAACCTCGTCACTTCTAAACATAGCATAGAAATAGACACAGTATCTCCGTCTAGTGCCCAGTGGACATCTAAGTCACCAAACACCCAATGTAGTATAGACATAGACACTCCCCTGCAGAGCCCAGAATATAACCAAGATCCCCAAGTCTCTCCATTCCTCTACTGTCAGCAAATATCTGTGAAACTTGCAGCCAATGTGAGTCTCATCCTTCTCTAGTGCTGGCCCACACAGAGAGTCAACAGACTTGAGCTAGAAATAGCTGTGTAGACAGCGCTTCGAAGTTGCAGTTCAGACTTTGAAGCCAACCCCCCTCCATAGGCTTCAAAGCCCGAGCTCTGGCTGGAGCTGCAACTTCGGAGTGCTGCCTGCACAGCTATGTGTACAGCCCTAGCGCAAGCCCGAGTCTGTCGACTGGGGCTGAGAGACTTGCTGCGACTCCCTTCAACCCCTCGGTTTTGGAGAGTCTGGCCCACACCTGGAATTGCACTTTGAAGAGAACAGAGAGCTAGTGCAGCGCACAGAGCCCTGCTGTTATGTACCCAGAGAGACATCCCGCACTTAAGAGAACTGTATTTTGGACATGCGTTTCCATTTCTTCATTAAGAGATGCTGATGTTTGAGTTATTGCCTGTGTGGGGCTAGTGTGCTCATATTTGGGTTTATTTTTCATGCAGACGGGTGAGTGAGATCCTACAGGTTGCTCCCTCCTTCTAAACTTGCATTGCTTCCCGTACCAAAGCGTTTCTGTTGCATCTGTGCACTGGGTGACAGGGTTGTTCCCCTCCCCTCAGCCTGACAGAGTCCCTTTTCCTCCACAGCATGTGTTTTGTGAAGAGTGCCTCTGCCTGTGGTTTGACAGGGAGAAGACCTGTCCTCTTTGTCGGTCCATCGCAGTGGAGACTCTGCGCTGTTGGAAGGATGGCACTACCTCAGCTCACTTCCAGGTTTATTAACCCCAACACGTACCAGGATCAGGATGACCTGTGAGCAGACAGAAGAAAAAGCTGGGAAACTCCTTGCTTCCAAGTATTTAGTGGGTTGTTGTCTTGGTCTTTCACACAGCTCTCTCTCTCCATCCAACCGGGGGAGCAGGTTGCCATGTTGTTACGTCTCTAGCAGGGATCAGAGTCCATTAGCATGAAGAGTCTTCTAAGGAGAGGGAAGGGGCGTGGGTTTTCAACTCTTCAACTCTCCATCCCTGCCACTCTTCACTGCTAACGTGGGCCTGAGGTCCTTGCTTGAACTTGCTGTCTACAGCACAAATTACCCCAGGCTGGCTCCTCTTTGTCTATTCTCTCAGTGTACATAAATGTCGTATTTGTAGGGAAAACATGATGAGAGTTTCCCATTATATGTGTGTAGTCCATAATATTAGAGGAAAGCTTTCCTCAACTGACTCATGAGAGGACAGCAGACTGGAGTTATGTCATTAAACCAGCCTCCTGACTCCCCAGAATCTGTCGTCATAAAGTTACATTGCCACTATTGTATTACCTGGGGAAACACGTCAGAGTCACTGCTTCAGAGGTTCATTTAGGGTTTTGGGAGAGATCGGTGGCCGATAGCCCTGTTGTTGTCATTGATACCATAAAACACATGGGTTGCCATCTTGATCTTTATGAAACCTCAAGAGAAATAGGAGAGGGCCATATTAAAGAGACCAAGAGGGGGTAGCATTTTCTCAGTTTTGAAATGTTTCATCTTTAATGTTCATGGTTGGATTATCTGCTTCCTTTGCAAGTGGGAGAGCTTGGAGAGGTGGGGAGAGATTAAAGCCAGGTCTGAATTTTATTACAAAAGTTCAAGTGCTAATTGAAGGCCATGTAAAGAGATGGTTTTCTCAAACCCAGCCCACAAACTGTATAGAGTTAATTTAAAAAAAAAAAAAGCATCTCATGCTGTTTCCTGGGGATTGGCTTTATTAAAAAACAAAATGGGAATCCAATAACATATAATTTAGCTCAAAACTTTCTTCCTAGGCTTGGCTGTTCCGAAGGCTCCTCTCTCAGGGCTGCTCAGCCCAAACCTTAGATCCTCTCTCTGTAGGGAGTCAGCAGAATCCACCTCATTGTTTCCTAGCAGGATTGATGCCTGCTAACAGGGTGGAGTGTTGCATGCAAATGCTACCAGTGTGATACAGACATAAAGAATTTGGATTCTTTTGAGCTTCATTTGAGATGTCCAAAGATGATCCTATAGCTCATCTTAAGATTTCTCCTAGATCTAGGGTATGTATCTGGATGTGGCCAGCCTGCATGCAAACAGACAATATTTTGAAATCCCCTATCATGGTGACAACTCCTCTAATAAAAGCGATTAGTGGCCCCCTCCTTCTATGAGGATTGTGTGAAATAGATGGAGGGTGCATTTTACTTGAGAGGTTGTTCATTATGAGGACCTTGCAGTCAGGTTCCACCATCCAGGGTAGACAGGGACAAACTTCCTCTATTGATAAACCCCATCTTGCCTAAACAAGCAAATGCCTCGGCTTCAGAAAACGCTTTTCAAGGACAGCGGCTTGTACCCTTAATAGGCAAATGAACAGACTAGATGCTGGAGTAGCACAAGTCTGTATTCTGCTGTCACAGTGTCTGTCGAGAATCTTATGCTGGCACTAGGATGCCAATGGATTTGATGTTTGTTCACTGGCTCTCGAGCTGAAGCTTTCTCTTTCGCTAGACGATTTACTTTTTGCTGAACGCACGGAGAAATGGCTTCATTAAGCAATCATGGCATCTTCCATGCTCATTACTATGGAAATGGCCGTAAGGTTACAATCCCACTTGACTGGATAATCAAGCAGGAAGAACTGTACCTCAGGGAAACAGGGCGGCACGTATGTATTGGTTGCTTTCCTCCCCTCCTACTGTAAAGCCTCCTTGGGGGAAAAATTAAAGCAAACAGGAGCTAATGGCAACTGGGTTTTGTCTTAACTTTCCTTGGAAAAAAATAGGACAAAGGAGAAATGATGGAGGCAGAATCTGAATCAAACCTGAATTAAGAGAGAGATAGGATGAAGGGAGAGGAGAAGAGGCTTTGCCCCACAAAATGAGGTGAGGTGCCTTTGTTAAAAGCCTCTTGAGAAAGGCATGGACTAAGCCGAACAGTCCTCTGGTTGTCTCCAAAGGAAAGGTCTCTTAGATTCTGTAAGAAACAGGAGAGATTTCCAACTGGCATAAAATTTCGACATGTGAATCATAGCCTGGGTGAACCTTTATCTGGGTGGAATGGCAAATTGCTGACTCTGCAAGGAAGCACAGGTGAATGTAGTATGAATGGGTTCCGTTCTGTGTGTAATACCATGGAGTGAAACTGATAGGTTAATGTGTAGTTTCTGCTTTCTAGAGTCTCAAGGCTGTTCTGAAAACCTGGTTCCAAGTAGGAGTGACTATTTCTTTGCTTGCCTTTAGGAACTACTGCAAAAATCAATGTTGTGGGGAATGATGGTGAAGTGTATCAAAATGTTAATAGGAGAAAGATTAAAACTACTGATGGCATTTGACATTCTGGTTGTAAATAAGCTTTTTTTTGTCTAGTGTTTCCTCCCCTGCCATCAATAGGTGCAAAATTTCTGTTATTGGTCTTTTCTCTTCCCTTCCCTCTCTCCCCCCCTCTCCCCCCCCACTATAGTCTTCCAGCTGCGAACGTGAGAGAGTGAATTAGCATCTTAATAGTAACTTGCCAGGATTAAAACACTCCACTACTGCCAAAACACTCCAGAAAAACATAACACAAGGCTTGGTACTACTACTCATTGGGGGGGATCTCTCTGTTTAGTTGAGGCTTTCAGTAGAATTATACACCTGCCATAACACTGTAATTTGTTGTGAGATATGAGCGCCTTTTCTCCATCTTTATGCCACCTCAAAGTGCCCTATTGACTCTTGTTTTGCCCCTGTTATAGGCCTGTATTCTAGCTTCAGAGACACGTGCATGGTTCTACTGTGTTCTATTTCAGTACATTAGGCCATCATATGTAATCAGACCGCTCTGAGTGAGCAAGCCATGCTAAGCTTCCAGTGTCTCTGTAATGACAGAAACACATGAAGGTTTTGGTTTGATACTCCTGGAGACGGAAGGCCTCCATTTCGCTATAGATGCAGCACTAACAGCAGCAGAGTAACTTTCTCCATGCTGATGCCTGTCAATGGACCTCAATCCTGATGTGGAAGAGCCATGTCTAGAGGTCAGAGACTAGCTCAGTCGTCTTGGACCTTCCTCCTCCCTCTTGAGATTTAGTGCCACATACAATGGTGCTTTTGTACCGTGGGAACTTGTTCCACATGAAGGGCAGAGGTCAACTCAGTTCACATAGGCCACCAAACAGTTGTGAGTCATAAATACTTTTTTTGTCATTATCAACGTGTGCTGGGCAACACAGAGGTAACAGGCTCTATAGTCCATTAGCAATTCCTTGAGACATCCCGTCTCGTATTAGTTGTGGTGATTCTTCTGTGGCCTAAATATGGGGCAAAAGAGTCTTAGCCTCTTCTCAGAAGGTAACACAGGGCCCGCTCCTGCTCTTGTGAAAGTCAATGGCAAAACTTCTATCGACTTCAGTGGGAGCAGGAGCAGGGTTGGGGAAAGAATTCATAGTAAATGATCTTCTCTGTTTTGGAGAGGAAATAAAAAGTAAGACCTTTTTTCCCAGTGAACAATTGATTTTTTTTAATAAAGTCATTACAAATATGTACAAAGAATCTCCAGCATATGAAATTACTTTTACAAAAGAGGGAAAGAAGCCATGTCCATCTATACACAAGAGCCATAACTAGCTCATTGCATCTGCAGTAAGCACATGCCTTGCCTTAGCTTTGGTGTGGGAAGGAACTTGCACAGCTACTCTGTAGGGTCTTTCCTGTACCCAGTAGATTTGATGCATTTCACGATTTTTAATCTATTAGCGGAGTGTGACTGGTAGCAAACTAGAACATTCTCAAATGTATTCGCTCTTTGAAATTATGGGCGAATTTCTTCAGCAAATAAATCGTGGTCTTCAGATTGGTCTTAAAGAGTGTTATGAATATGATTGCAAATTTTCTGCTCCCTGATTGAATGGCCTGAAATGCTGAGAGTCACTTACACAGTTTGAAAACTACTTTTGGTGAATATTCGAGCATTAAGCTGAAAACTAACTTTTCGCAAATGTACGCACACCGGTAAAGCGCAAGTGCTCAAATACCTGTGCTGAAGGTGCACGAACATGGTTATATCAAAATCTGCTTTTGCATTTGAATGAACATTGATAGAAAAAAAATTCTTTTGTATGCTGAGCTATAATATATCGCACCAACCTCTTATATTATGGATACACTAATTCCAGTTTTTAATAGAACTCCCAGCTCTGTCCCATAGTAGTGGAAGATGCTGTTCCTTAAAAGACCTGAGGATGGAAATGACTTTGGGCTAGGTGGCGGTGGTGATCATTGCAAAGGCAAAGGGAGCATCATTCAAGCCAGCAGGAGAGAGGTTAACGATGATGACAGTGGAAGTGCCTCATGCTGGATGCAGAAGCATGCTCCGTGCTATGAGAAAAGAGGGCTCTAGAGTAAGAGATTGTAAATTCAATCCAGAACAGAGTGGGGAAGGGGAAGGGGAAGACTAGAGACAGCACAAGAGGATTCCTCTCCTCCCTTCAGAGTACCTGATATGCTGGCATTCTTCTCAGGAAGGTGAAGTCATTGGGAATCATTAAGAAAGGGATGAATAATAAGACAGAAAATATCATATTGCCTCTATATAAATCCATGGTACGCCCACATCTTGAATACTGTGTGCAGAAGTGGTCGCCCCATCTCGAAAAAGATATATTGGACTTGGAAAAGGTTCAGAAAAGGGCAACAAAAATTATTAGGGGTCTGGAACGGCTGCCATATGAGGAGAGATTAATAAGACTGGGACTTTTCAGCTTGGAAAAGAGACAACTAAGGGGGGATATGACAGCGGTCTATAAAATCATGACTGGTGTGGAGAAGTAAATAAGGAAGTGTTATTTACTCCTTCTCATAACACAAGAACTAGGGGCCACCAAATGAAATTAATATGCGTCAGGTTTAAAACAAACGAAAGGAAGTATTTTTTCACACAACGCACAGTCAACCTGTGGGACACCTTGCCAGAGGATGTTGTGAAGGCCAAGACTATAATAGGGTTCAAAAAAGAACTAGATAAATTCATGGAAGATAGGTCCATCCATGGCTGTTAGCCAGGATGGGCAGGGATGATGTCCCTAGCCTCTGTTTGCCAGAAGCTGGGAAAGGGCGACAGGGGATGGATCACTTGATTATTACCTGTTCTGTTCATTCCCTCTGGAGCACCTGGCATTGGCCACTGTCGGAAGACAGGATACTGGGCTAGATGGACCTTTGGTCTAACCCAGTATGGCCGTTCTTATGTTCTTAAGTCACCCATTGTTCATGCTTTAAGTGGGTTTTGACTTTGATTAACATGGTCGTAATCAATCATGCCAGTGCTTTCCAAGCTTCTGTCCCATGAGAGATGAACCACATACAGCAGCTT